TAGCCTAACCCAATGCTTCTCATCATGGAGAAAATCTATTTGGTTGCTAAGAGTCGACAACGACTTGATGGTACATGTTCATGTTGGGAATTGAAGTCCACATATCTTAAAATTGCCAAAGTTGAGAAAACCTGGTTTAGCCAAATCTACCTCCTAGGGTTTGTTGCGGTATGGAAAAACTGGACAGAGCAGTCCATATGCCACCACGCTGGGATACAAGTCTTAACAAACAACGTAGCCTATCTAAACTATGCTAAAGTGACTACTTTAAATTCCACAAAAGAAAAGCTGATTATAATTGCAACAGATTAACAGAGGGCTCCTAAAAGGGACATGCACAAATATTTAAATATATAAATATCAATTTATATTAAAAATTTAAAATGAATATATTTATGCAAAATGTTTCTCCATATCTTTAAATAGCACCATACCACCAGATTTTTTAAAATACATACTTCAGAAGAAAAAATGTTCAAAGGATTTTGTTATTTTTTCCCTCCTCTGCTCAGGAAATCATACTAGCTACTCCCCTGGTCAGCATAAAAGTAATATTAGTGCAAAACTGAAGAGGACAGTTGATGCCTTTATCTCAGCATGTTTGATGACCTCTTTTGTCATTCTTGGGTGTTTGATGAAGGAATGTGTGAGGAGTAAGAATAATATATTCTGCACGGTAGCAATGTTTTCTACCTGCAACACCTCACACATTCCTGAGGCAGAAGCTAAGAACCAAATGTGTTTCCTTTCCACACTTAGGAACAAGCCAGCTCAGTTCAAAATAGCCAATTCTTAAACTGAGGCTACTAAGAAAAGCAACAAATCCCTTTGTTTTGTGTCCAGATACAAATATGAGCTCAAACAAGACAGAACTGGTACAAGACACTAGGTAGCTCCTTCCTTTATTAATATATTAATTTGCCCTTTACATCTCCATAAGAAGCATTAACCACAGTGTGATGGTTTCCTCAGATACTTTGGGAATGGGGCTGGGGCTGCAGAATTACATCATGTGGGCTAAGGATGGAGACTGGAAAGAGGAAACTCTTGCAATGTTGCCAGCTTGTGTACCAATTCTGGCCACGGTCAGTGCTGTTTAACTCTTACCATGCAACAATTATCAAGCTGCCAGTGCCAGACCTAGCATTAAGCAGTGAGACATTCACCTCAGTTAGCAGATGCTAGGTGAGAAGTAGCCATGGAAGCATCTTTATTCTTCTAGCCTGCTGCTTTAAGTATGGTTGAGGGCATTGCCAGTGTTAAAGTGTATGGACACGTATTTTTCTTTGCCCCAGGCAGCAAAATATCTTGGAATTCCAAATGCACTATACACGTAACATCAAGAGATAATCAACAGTGCCTTGCTACAGACCTCCATGACTTTATGGCCAAGAGATATTTATAGAACTCAAGGTCTTCTAGGTAAAGAGTTCAAGTCTAGATAGGATGCAGGAAACATAGAAGATACTCTGTTACTGCCATCATTCCAATGAAAGCAGTACTATGATGGAACACTAAACACTAAGCCCCTAATGAAAAGGGGATGATTTTGATTTCATATTTCAATAAAATTACATGCCTGGTTCTCATTGTAAACCATTAATTATAAAATAAACAGATTTTCATATTACAACATGTCCCAAAATACTGACAAAGTCATGCACATTTTGATATTACCTTTTCAAATTATTTAATATGAAAGACAAAAAGCAGTTTTCATAACTGCTTATGCTATACATTTTAACTTGTATACACAAATAAAAATAATCCCTTCAAAGTGTATTGAAACCAATTCAGAAATAATGCAAACTGTGGAAGTATAGAATTATAATTACTGTATACATATTTTTCTTTTAAACTGAAAGCCCTATTGGAGATTACCTGTGTGAGCAAAATAATCCTCAAGATCGACTAACTGGCTGCACCACAGGTATGGAGATTTTTCTGTTGACAATGACCCTTTTCTGTATGTTTCTATAAAGTAAGATCCGCAAGGAAGACTTGCTAGGAAAGATTCTTCAGTTTCAAGCTGACTGATGTATGACATCAAATGCAGTTTTGCATATGCAAATACAGTCTTGTTGCTACTTTTGAATGCTGATTAGTAACCCCAGAGAAAAATAAAAGAAGACAGCACAAGACATAATCACATCCAGATTGTTAAACACAAAATTAAATCACTTAATACATCCTACTAGAACTTCATGCATGAAATCTTGTTTTATTGCCTCCTAATTTTTAAGTCTTTCTAAGTACATAGTAATTTGCTTTCTCCAAAACTATTTCATACTGAAAAATGTAAAATGTTTAATTGGGAAAGTACAATAAAATTTCTGAAGAGTTATTGTATGTTAAGAGTAACTCCCAAATGTTGGAGTAAGTTTGCTATGGGTTGCAGCTCACAGAATAATTAATCTTTGGTGCTTAAGTGTCTACTGAAACAAGGAACAAGTTGTCATAATCTACACAATGACCATAAAGGCAGTGATGGGACAATATATAATGGGCAACAATTCAATCATTCAGGGCTACATACATGAAACAAAAAATGAATTAATTATACTTCTGTAACACGCTGCCTTTTCATACAAAGTATTAAAAGCCAAAGCTGTTTTTCTCACTGTGGGTGCTCTTCAGATGTGAGGATTTCAACTCCCTGATTTCCTTAGCCAATATGGCTATTGCTGAGGTTTCCGGAGCTTGAAGCCCACACTACTTGAAGCTACCTAGGTTGTGGAGTATTGAACTAAGTTATTTCTCTTTGTCCCCTGCTGATATACCTTATATTTAACTTTAGATGTCTAAACTATTTGCAGTCAGACTCATAACTGAAACATACTTGTATTCAAATACTTTACAGAATCACCACATCAAAAAGTGGCCAAATAAAAAATAAAAAAGACAACAACCACTCACAACTCTAGTTTGTTTACGCCTACTGATTTCAGCTTAAGTTATAGCAACAATATAAAACATTCAAAAGCTAGGGGACTTACATAAAAATAAGAAACTCCTCTGCCAAAGGGATTGCCAATAAGACAATTCAACATCCTGGATGTATGAAGCTATTCAAATCTGAACTGCTCCTAATTATATAACAATGGGATGCTGCTTGTGGGTCCAACTTTAACAACAAAAAAGTTTTAGTAAGAGGGGCTATTTTTTGCCACCAAGGCTTACTTTCCTACCAATTATCCCCTCAAGTATTCTCCTAAGCCAAGCTCCAGTACTTCAAAAATAATACACTTAGGGTTAGAGTCTGCAGGAAGGAAATCAACAAATTGGTGGTATGCACCTATATGTCCCTTTTGTTATTAAGAAAGATCAAATCCACATTTTCTTTGCTTCAGACTGGTTGAAGTTTAAAACAAGTGTATAGTAATGGGTAATGTATGTATGTGACTGCCAGCTAAACTTAAATTTCAAAACTCTCTAAAAGAAATATAACACATTTCCACTAAAAGCGTGTTAATTCCTTTTTCAGTTAGGACCAAATCAGTCTTCTGTATACACAATTCTTTACAACAATATGTAAAGGACTCATGAAACTCAAATACTTAGGAAATAAATACAACAGTATCTGCAATTTTTCACATAATGTTGCTTCTGGTATTCTGCTTCTGGTGTAAGTACAAAGTAAACCAACATCACCACTTCATCAAGCTGTTTTTCCTAACTATAATCTATTTCATTTTTTAAAAAACTGCTTTGCATTTTACACAACAAAAAACAAGATAAATATGTGATTGTAATGGAACATTATTAGGATGTATGGGTTCAGGGCTAAGACGCAGTGGAGAAAAACAGCAGAAAAAATAATCTGCTGGAATGTGGTGCAATTTCTCCAGTCTTGATTGCCGCCTCACATAATGCTCAGCTTTTTTCAGTGCAGATTTTGTATTTGCCTTTCTGGTCTTTTTACAGACAGTAATAAAAGTTATTTTCTTCCAAAAAAGAGCCATGTTTTCCAGCAAGCTTCAAATTTCCTTAAATACAGGTAACTATGATAATGTTACAAGTTATTTTGCTGCAGGGCTACTTAGAAGAGCTCACCATCTTCCACTGTTCAATTCTGAATTAAGGCTTTGTATATAGTATCATTTATAAAAAGGGGATGCTGCCACATTCATTTCATAGAGTCCTACTACATTGTAAATGGTAGAACTTTATCAGTTATTTTCATGGGCAAAATAATATCTAACTGGTGGTCCTGGCAAGTCTTCTTCACCATCTATTTCTGGAGCAAATGATACTGTGAGGTCCACATATTTCTTATTCACTGCTGGTTTCACAAGTTTTTGCATCCTATAAAATATGATTGAAAAGTTAAAAAGTAACATATCACAAAAGAGTTTTTTGAAGGATCATAAAACTAATTCAAGACATAATTTTTAGAGATTAATATGGACTTTTAAGACAATAATCAGAATCAATCTGAAAGGTATTAATAAAAATATGCTGCAATTATTCAATAGTTGAGGGGTATCTTAATCTTTTCTATCAACCTTTAATTGTTTAAATTAAATTTAAATTGTTTAAATGTTACAAGTTATTTTGCTGTAGGGCAAAATACATATTTCTTATTCACTGCTAAATTTGAGGTAGGGTACCAGCTTTCCAGAATAATTCTGCTTCCTGATAAGGAAATGGATCTGTGCTCCAAAGTTACTTCTTAACTTGATATGCTTACATTAATAAATTAAAAGCTAAGGCAGATGGTGGTTTTAATTCATTATTTAATTCTGTTCTGCTTGCTATGCATTTCAGCTCCTGATCAAGTGATATGATTTAGGAAGTATGAGATGAGGAAAAAAGCTCTCCCTTCTAGTCTTTTCAAGTGCCCCTGCCCTCATTTCCTTTGCCAGGCCCATATATGTATTACTTGTTTGTTTTCATATTTCTACCCTGTCACAACCCAGAGACGCTCACAGCTTACACAGATTATAAAACTGCATTCAAGTATAAGCACCTTACACGGATTATAAAACCACATTCAAGTATAACATCCATAAAAACATTTTAAAAATCCAAAAATAAAATCACAAACAATAAATATAGAAAGTAAAGATGGCATGATAAAACTACAGGGTTAAAATTCAAGTCGCTTAAATAAACAGGAAAGTATTTTCTATCTAGGATCTGATCCATAATGAATAAGCTGTCTTGGTATGCATCAAATAAATGTATACATATGATAATATTGGTCTCATTGTGATTACTTCTTTTCTACTTTGGAAGAAAAAAATCTCCAAATGGATTGATTCTCATGGGAAATAGATCCTGTTTTGTTTTTCACAAGACACAACATAAATAATTTCATGATTTCAAAAACTCGACATTAGAGGGGACTAAAGATTTTAGGTAGAGGAAAGATATACAGGCCTGCAAGATGGTTATGACAATAAAAATACTGAAGGAGACTTTTGAAGAATGGAATCAGAAAATAATAGCTACAATATCAACAATGTTAGTAATAATATCTGCTTCTATAGATAGACTGTGTCCAAAAGATATTATTGAAGAAATGACAGATGTAGAACAAATTTTATTTGACAAGATAGAGATGGTATCGAAAGTAGATTTAAAACTGGCAGGCCAAGAGATTAATTTAGAAAACGATGTTTCACTAGATGTACAAAAGAAACTGGCTGAAGCTTTAAAATTTAAACAGGAAGGGAAATACAAGAAACAAACCAAGAGAGTGACCTGGATAATTTTTCCTACTGGATTTACAAAAGAGGCTTATTAAAGCCTTGTAGAACTCTGTGTGATGGGACAAAGAAGAAATGAAGAGAAATCAAATCCTATGACAATATTTGAATGAACTAAACATTAAGACTGTTAGAAGTAAAGGGAAGTTTTATTTGATCAAGGTTAATTTAATTGGGTTTAATTTAATTTGATCAAGGTTAATTTAATTGGTTTATTTGATCAAGGTTAAAGTGAGATATGTTGTTGCTTCTGGCTACCCTTTTTAGACTTTCTGCTGATATCAGGACTGAAAAAATGATATTTTATGGAATTATTTATAGATAAGAGGTAAGATACGGGATGAAGAGATAAATGTTTGTAACTTTAGAGAGGGTGAAGAGTTACTAAATTTGTTTATACTTGTGATGAAGGTTGGAAGTCACTTCTTTATATATTTCTTATAGTTTTCTTTATTATATTCTTCCTTTTTTATTTCTTCTCTTTTTCTTTCTTTTTTCTTGCACTTTTTACTCCTATTTTCTTTAAGTTTAGTTTGTATTACATTTTACTATTATTAAAATTCTTAACAAAAATTATATTAAAAAGTAGTAGAAGCTAACTAACACTGAATCTTTCTCATTCTGATCAAAAAAAACTCCCCAAAACCCTAAGATTTTTCCTCCTGAAAAGAATTCAGGAAATGAATGCTCTTCCAGTTCAGTGGCACAGTATACTAATGCAAACCTTGCCCCTGGAGACTATAAAGGTTCAGCCGAGTGATCTTAGAGCAGGCAGAACAAAACAGTGCTATAACTATTCAAGGGAAACATCTTGGGTAACAAAATTAAAAACAAAATTCTCTTTATCCTGCTACCGGCCATGCTTTGCTGATTTAATGGAAATGAGAAGCACTGCATTTCCATGTCACATGAGTTTCTGTAGAAACCAGAAATAGATGCAGTGATTAGCTCTAATGGGTAGACTTTATGCATATCAGAGTTGGAAATCAGCTAACTTTACAGATAATCAGATAGCATTCTCACTATGATGAATGTACTGAACTTCTGGAAAACATAAACCACATGCCAGTTATGAATTATCCAAGCAACACTTGAAAAGTTCAGTGAAAGTATCTGAAAATAGTGTGGAACTTTTTTCCTCACACAGGGAACACTGCAGTTACAGCTCCAGAATTTCCTCAGACTTTTTCTTCTAAGGTAACTCTTTTTCCACCCATTCAAGGAAAGAAAATGAAAATGAAAACTGGACTACATCAAAGCTTACAAGGTCCTAATGTTTGATGCTAGGCAAGCCTGGAACTGGAAGAAGGCCTACAAGTAGTCCTCAATTTACGACCATTCATTCAGTGACCGTTCAACGTTACAGTGGCACTGAATGGACTTACAACCAGTCCCCAAAGTGCAGCGCCCCGCAGTCACATGATCAAAATTTGGGAGCTTGGCAGCACTTGCCCAGAGTTACACCTGCAGGGGCACTTCAATTCCCCCCATCCACCTATCTCTCCCCCCACATCTATGCCCTTTTGGCCCCCTGCACTCCATGGCTCTTGCCCTAGCTGATCTTCCCCATCTTCTTGCTCCCGCTGATCAAGCATGTTCAGCCCGGCCTTTTGCGAGGCAGCTGCTGGCCACGCCAGGCCTTCTTGCTGAGGCCATGCCTGCCCTTTGTCCACATCTTGCATGGCCTTATCTAAATTGTGTGCAGCCTTCTTGCAAGGTTTTGGAAGGCAGGCGCATGAAAGGAGGCCCAAGTTGTGCTGGTGTGAAAGAAGGACATGGCTAGAAGGGGTCCTTTTTGAGGCAGGCACATGAAAGAAGGCCCTAGCTGCGTGAGTGAGAAAGAAGGACCCTTCTAGACAGGTCTTTCTTTCATGATGGCACAGCTGGGGCCTTCTTTCACACACCTGCCTTGAAAAGGATCTCTTCTAGCTGGGTCCTCCTTTCTTCCCACGAGGCTTTCTTCCCAAGGTCACACATGGCAGTTTCCTCACAAGACCTGGGGAAGATGGCCATACATGGCCAGCACCTGCCTCGCAAAGGGCCAGGGCAGGCACACCTCATCAGCAGTGGGAGAAAGAAGACAGCAAAGGTCGGCTGGGGTGGTGGAACGCAGGGCAGCAGGTGCCTCAAAGTGCAGGGTGGCAAGGGTGACTGCAGCTGAGACTGGTCTGGAGCAGCTAAGGCTTCCAAGGGGTGGCTGCAGCTTTGCTGTGGTTCGGGGGCTTCTTGCAGTCCCAGAGCCGCAATGCACCAAGAAGCCCCTGAGCCACAGCATGGCAAGCAGCACCAGAGCTGCACGATTCTGGGGCTGCTTGCCACCCCACAGGGCAGGGTACAAGGCAGCCAAAAAGGCAGAGATGGGGGGGAGATAGGCAAATTGGGGAGTTGAAGAAGAGGCAGTCCCTTACCATACTGAAGCTCAGGGCTGGGAGGGACCAAACCCAGAATGGCTTGGATTGGGGTGGGTCCTCAGCTAATAACCGATGGAATTTGATTAACAATGGCAACAAGGAGAGACGGGATTGCCATCGCTAAGCGATGCAGTCACGTGACATCACGCTTTACGACTGCATCGCTTAGCAACAGAAATTCCAGTCCCAATTACTGTTGTAAATTGAGGACTACCTGTACTTAACTGGACCATTTAGGAGGAGTGACCCAAAGATACCCTTATTAACTACAGAAAAATCCTATTATTCCTAAGACAAACACTGCAATGTGTTTTTAAAAGATATATCCCAACAAATCCAGAATAAAACAGAACTTTTTATTAAGTTCCATTTATTAAGTCCCCATGAATTTTAGAGTTATTATTCAGTTAACACTTACGTCAGCTTTAATCGTTTAACGTGGCCAGGCATTACAGGAACATACAACATTTTAACTCCCTGGACCACCATAGTTGGTTCAATTCCATATTTTTCCTGTAACACACACATTTAAAAATATTTTCAACTGTATCAGATATAAAATGGAGTATTCAGATACAAAGGGAAAAAACAATTCAGTATGATCATTTTTATCTACATAATCTTTGCTTGTTTTAATAAACACACATTATAAAACAAAAACCTCAGCTAATGATTCTAATGACTTGGAAAAGCAGAAAAGCTTTCAATGAAATCTAGCAGAACACTAACGTGTTTCCAAATTATTTCTGTATATATTTTATTAAATACCTTACTTTGACAGCATTTATGAAGTCCAACAGTGTGAAGTCATCTTTCCCATAAATAGTCCATCTATCCCAGATTGTGAAAGATATCCCATTTCTGTTACAAAATAAGAATGAAAAACATTTTTGTAAATGCATAAAATAGTGGTGGGGGACAGGAGGGTTGCTAAGCTTCAGCTTGCACATTGTGTACATGCTGATGTTGCAGTTGAGCTTTCAAGCTGCATACTAAAGGCAAAAATTATATTGTTTTATTTGCTGAATGTTGCTAGCAGGTTGCCAAACCAATGCCAAATAGGTCTAAAACTACTTTTATTAGGACAGCTATAGTAACAGAATATTGCAAGTCTGACTGTGCTTCCCTCCTCCCTCACTTTATCTTCAGGTGAATTAGGGAGGAGCCTGCCTGAGGCATTTTTTCAAATTAGTTTCCTCGAATGGACTTAAGACGCACTTGTCTGTTGCTCTGGTAATGAATCTTCCCACTGTCCATCAAGGCCATTCCCTATTCCCTCTACTTTGGACTGTTACCCAATTTACTTTTTTTGCCTCAGGCGAAAATAAGAGAAGAAGTGCCTTCTTTTCAATTTGCATTGTTTCCTGCAGTGTAATGCCATGAACATTTAGAGCTTTGTTCCATATGGAATACAGAATACTCGGGGTGTTTAGAGTTAACACAGCCAGTGGGACATTTTAGGAATGGCTGCTTTTTTTCCAAACTCAGAACAAAACACTGTTTGTATTTCATTCACTCTTTGTATTTCCTGCCAGGCAGCAGGTGGTATTCTAAAAAACTGACTCTGCTGATAAACTTCTTGTCAGTTGTGTAGTGATACTTTAATGTAAGATTTCAGTGGGAAACTGCATACTCAAAATATACCGTTTAATATCTTAATTTACCTTATTTCTGTTTTTCTAACTTCAGCTGTTTCTGTAAAGACAATTATTGGAATGGCCAAGTTGAAAAAACAGTTCTTATATACTTGAAACGGGTAGACACCAACTACTTTGATCAATTCCAAAGCAACCTAGAGAAGAAAAGGAAAGGAATGTAAAAGCAGGAAAAACTGACATATTTCATCTCATAGCTAAAATAACCACAATTTGGATACGTGCAACATACTTAATGAACTACAGACTAAAGCCTATGGAATGGAATCTGAAATTATGTTTGAATTTAGCCATTGAAGTATCTCAGATACTTTATTTCATGAACCATGATTTTTTTTTTGTTATAATCTCCAGACAAAACTGTATCAAGCATTTCCAGTTTTCCTCCCATTAAGTCACAAGTGTTCAGCAAGTATGTCTTTAAAACAAAAGGCCACTTTGCACATCACAAAATTCCTATCAAAAGCCATTCCTATGCAGGAATTTAGTTGAAGGGGTTGTGAAAAAAATTACAAAGTGGGAGTATAATTAATAGTGTACACACAACACACAAATTAGTATATTATGTGAAATTATTTACTATATATTTATATAATTTATCATACCATATTGTCATATATTTATCATATCATCGCCCACCTTTCCAAGGTATTCATTAAAACATTTATAATGTAACAAATATGTAATTGTTCACCACAATGCAGCAGCTATTTCAAAAATTTTCTCAGGCTGTATCTGAGATTTTTCTACTTCCCTTTTATCATCATTTTCCTACAGTTGACACATTATTGTTTGTTCTGGATTTCAGGCAAAACAAAGTACAACGTAGACCAAGGGTGACGTATATCGCTCCTACCCCCCGCCCTTCTCCTCACCTTCCTACCAGCTAATCTTCCCCAGCACCTTCCCTTCTGAGCCTCTGCTGCTATTGTTACCAACATTCCAGCATGGCATTTCCAAATGGCCTACCCACCCTATCTTCCCAGCACCTTCCTGTCCTCCACTTAGCTACTGCTCAATCACTGAACCACCTTCCCTCTCACCCTCCCCTCAACTACTATCTTTTCTGATGTCCTTGGCTTTTTCCTTACTTACCCCTAGCCTCAAACAGCGTCTGCCTGAAACAACTGCATTTCACTCTATTCCACAACAAAACAATACCATTTCATTCTGTGTGCAGGCTAAAACGTGTTTTGCTTCAGACTTCACCCCAAAACAACTGTCATCTGCATAAAATAATTACTGTGCAGAACATTTTGCACATTTTTACAAAGCCGATATATAAGTCGGTGCTCCCAGGTTTAAAATCTAGACTATTTCCTCTCATCTTTCCAAATCAACAGATACTTGGCTATTCTCTTGAATATTGCCTTAGAAGGCACTTGATCTACTACTTCTCTCTAGCCTGAAAACTGCTAGTTCCTACCTCACTAAATCATTTATTTCTACAGCAAATCAAATCAACAAACTGAGAAAGAAGCTTCTTCCGTTTAGTTATCTTTGGCCAATCAAGACTTAATAGAGAGGCTACTGTACATTGTATTTTTCCTTGTGTTTGGATAAAAGTGCAGTCTCACTCACCAGGCCAGATACAGCTGCTGTAGAAGTTGCAATAGCAGGGATAATTTTTCCAGCAATACGTTTTGTTTTCAGTCTATCTGCAGGTTCAATATTATACATTTTGGCACGCAAATTGGAAGCTGCTGTTATAAAGTCTATGTGGCCATTACTGTCATCATCCTTCTCAAAGCTAAGTTCCTTCATCTGTAAGTCACCTATTCAGAAACAAAAGCCTCCATTTCAGAATTCTTTAGAAATTCCTGATTATTTTAATTTCATCTTAAATGCTTACTTTACTTTTCCTTAAAGAGTTTTTTAAAGTATACTAATAGTACTTGAAAAGGCATAAAACTAATGGGAAATCTATGGGGAATGTTAGGGAATTACCAGAAACCTGCCTCTTGAATAAGAAGGCAACTTAATAAAATGGAGGTGCCCTTCAGCAAGAAGGGATCTGTGTGGGAATTAACATTTTAGAAACAGAGTAGTTACGGAAGGAAGAATATTATAAAGAAAGTTGTACGACCACACCGAATCAAGAGATGAGATATGTATTTTTCTTTACAGGTCCACTTTTTCATTAATGTAGAATAGTTAAAAACTTGCAAAAAAGTTGATATTCATCCTGAAGTCTTAGGAAAACCAAAACTAAGCATCAAACAAAGCATAATGCAATCATAGGAATTTAGTTTGTTTAGCCCTCCTTTTGAAAAAAACAAGTTTACAATTTGAAAGAGCCCTTTATACTGTTTTCCTCCTGGATTTTCTGGCATCAATTGTGGCCTAGAGTGCATTGTTCAGATTTAACTATTGTGGCAACTGTACTCAGTGGTGTGCCAGTAAATGTTTTAAGAACCAGTTCTGCCAGCTCCCTTGGCGCCATCACATTGTGCCACTAGCCACAACACAACTGACTGTTGCACTAGGCATTATACCTGAGCTCAGCTCTCTACCAGCTGGCAAAATTCCCTAAATTTTAACAATCAGCTCTCATGAGCCAGTACGAGCTGTTTCCAGCACATCACTGACTGTGCTCCATTCTTGGGGAATCCAGATTTGATCAAAGGTATATAATAAAGCATTCTATATAGTGGTAAGATTAACTGACCAATCATTAAAAGTAAATCTATATGGAGCTTCTTGAAAAACTTGAGAGGGCTTAACCAGACTATTAATCAGGGCCGAATTCGAGGAACACAGAAGTCTTTCACCTGTCACTGGTACTACTAATTAACTTTCAAGTACTAGAGATGTGATTAGGATACTTAGTGAGAAACCTATCTTGTACAACCTTGCCCATCCAATAAAATTATTGAAAGAAGCCAAACTGTTATTGAAAGAAGACAAAGCTAAATAAATATCTTAATTCTGACTAACAGATCCCCTCTCTCCTGGCATTGAAATATCATATAAAATCCTTTTTCTGAAAATCTTTTCTCTCTTTTCCTTCCCATTGTAGCCCTTGTTTTTTTTCTACATATTTATCAAGTGTTTGCTATATCTGTGTTGTAAATTTAATATGCTTGTTTTTAAGGTTTGCATTCATATATTGAGTGGGTCAATCTGACCAAAAGTCAGATTTCTATATTTCTAATACTGATACTCACTTTTTGTAGCTTCATTGGCTAAAATGGCACTCTCCAATTGAAGAAGAGCATTTCTTTCATCCTCACTGCTTACAGGAATAGGATCTGGTTTCCGTACTGCTTCATCTGTTTGTACAACCTATAAACATTAACAATAAATAGTACAATAAATATTCATATTCATATTCATTTAAATGGACTGAGGAATTAAACTGCCTCATATTGTAAAATGTAAATAAAGTATTAGAAAAAAAAATACTGTTTTTCATTGCAGTACAATTTAAAGCAGCACATTTTAGGAGTGACATCAAACACTCTGAGACTGGAAAGATAAGTATAGAGGAAGCAGACTGGTAGATTATGTCTGAAAACCAGGAACCAAAGTTATGACTCAACAATTACATATTTTAGGGAAGATGTACATTTATCATACTATGGCTTTCTATAAATGTGGAAAGTGGCACCATGTATGAACTTAAAGAGCATTTGGAAGCCACATTAGTATATCAATGAAGAAGGAATTATACATTAAAAAACCGGATTTTTGCTAAATACATATAACCAGTTTATTTTAGATACGTATGTAGTTGACTTATATGGCTGCCTATCTTAAGAGACACAACTCTGGGTGGCTCACAACAGCAAGATTTGTCATACTATATAGTTTAAATTACTTTCCTCAAATACTCATTTCCATTTCAGTAGCACCTAAATCACATGCTAGCAAGGTTATGCTCAAAATCCTACAAGCTAGGCTTCAGCAATACATGAAC